GGGCGCCCGGCTCCCGCGCCGGACAGCGGCCATCCCGGCCCCCGCGCCCGTCCTCCTCCTCGTCGTCTCCGTCCTCCGGCGCCCACTCATCGATCGCCGTCTTGGGGAAGGTCGGGAAGGGCTCCTCGTAGTCCTCCAGCGCCGACACCAGGTCCAGGCTGCCCCCCGGCGACGACGAGCAGGGGGTCACTTTGGTGGAGTTGGGCTGGGAGCCCGAGCGGCTGCTGCTGCTGCTGCCGCCGGCGTCGCTGCCGAGGTCCATCCCATCCTCCCGGTAGTCCTGGGGGGACAGACAGGGTGAGGGGCCGGCCCCGCGCCCCCGGGGCCGCCCGCGGCCAGCCGGCCCCCGGCTTCCCTCCCCGGCGCCCCGCGTCCTCCCGGGGAACTAACCCTCAAGTCGGCCAGGGGATGCCGGCCGCCCGCGCTCACACTTTTCATACGGGGAGCCCGGGGCCGCGCGCGGACTTTGTGTTAACCATGTTGCGCCGGGCGCGCCCGGTGCCCCGCCCGCCCCGAGGATTCTCCGGTGCAGACACTTTGCTACGGAATTACAATTCCCGGGGCGGGAACCGAGCGGAGAGGGGCGGACACTAGGCTCCCACCTCGCTCCGGGCTCCCAGGCCCCGCCCTCCGGGCCCCGCCCCAGCCGCCCGGCCCCGCCCTTCCCAGCCGCCCGGCCCCGCCTTCGGCCCGTGCGGCCCCACCCTCCCTAGCCTCTCGGCCCCGCCTTCGGCCCTTATGGCCCACCTTCCCAGGCTTCCGGCCCCGCCCTCGGCCCTTATAGCCCCGCCCACACAGCCTCCTGGCTCCGCCCTCGGACCGCAAGGCCCCGCCCTCCCACAGCCTCCTGGCTCCGCCCTCGGACCGCAAGGCCCCGCCCCCATCGCCCATGTCCCGCCCCTTTTCCGGCTGCGTTTGGGCGCCCGGGGTCCCCGGAGCCGAGCTCTACTTTCTGAGGAACCGCAGCCCGCGACAGCCCCGCCCCGCTGGCGGCAGGCTCGGGG